CACTGTCTGCTGCTCTGTGCCCAGTGAAAGGGAGAGGGGCTTGTAACCAGGCAGTACACATTTATTTCACACACAGAACCTCCTAACACCAGTTCAAACACATGCAGCAGAGGCTACTCAACAGAGAGCTGTATTCATGTACACTTGCATTCCTACTAATATTTTCAGTCATTCACTGAAGACTCAAGATAGCATTGTCCACATGCTTCTGAAGTAATGTTTTTTCTCAAAAGAAATCAGTATAAAGACATGTCTGTCACCAGCTCACCAGCCACAGAGGACAAGTCTAGCAGGACTACCAGAGCTTCTATGTTTTAAGTACAGAAAGCCGTACCAACAGATATGGGCAGTAGCAACTCTGCTAGCCTGGCACCTCAGCTCTGAGGTGGGAGGCAAACTCTGATTGGAATTTGAGAACAACCTGTCCCAGAACTCCATTCACAACCTAATTACAAAGATTGCAAGGAAACTTTATGCTAGCACCACCAGGTAAGTTTTCCTATTTGAATCCTATCCATTGGTCACTTCCTCTGGCTCACCTACTTCATGCTGAGTGACAAAGGACATGGCCAACAACCTGGTACCATATGTTTCACAGCAGTGGAACTTCATATTCTGAAGTCAGTACAGGAGGTACTGTGAGACATGAGGGATGCAAACTCTCAAAGCCAGGATATGCAACAGCTCTTGCAAGAGCTGCCATTGCAACCAGTGTGGGAATCACACTGGCTGGATGCTAATCCTGGCACACTGGCAGGATCCAAGCAGCAGGAAGTGCCCTGCCTCAAATTGAGCAGTTTCCTCATCCTCACCAAGTGTGTGTTAATACCCTACCAGTCTCTCACACAGTGGCTGTAAAACCTTGAGGCTTTGGATAGCTCTCCCCTTCCCATACTCACTGGAAGCAGGGAAAGCAAGAGGAGACTCCCAGATTAGCATGACAACTCTGACAGTCAGCATGGCACCTCACAAGCTTTCACGGAATGGAGGACATGTATTGCAACAGGGTCTGGTAACCGTGTACAAAAATCAAGGCAGATAATCAGACTTCAAGGTCCCACAAGAGCACACCTTGCAGTAAAAGGTTTAATATGCACAGCATACTTTTTCCAGGGGCAGCACCTCCCAGGCTGTTAAGAGTAGGTTTACTCCTTATCACAGTCAAAGCTGGTGGCTGCATATTCAGAGAACAGATATCAGTAGATGAGAGAGATGAGGGAAAAAAAAAAAACCAGAAAAGGCAACATTAGGCAGAAAATCTGACATTGCAAGGAGCAAAGGAGTAAAGAAGTGAAGGAAAAAAAGAAACAATGAGATAGCAACAGAAGTGGAAAATGAGGTATTTCCTGTCTGAACTAACCATATTGATCCATGTCACTCCCTCATACAGCACCAGGTGAAGGGGAAAGGTAGAGATAGATAGCTGAGCTCCCTCTCTCTGAAGTGAAGGCACCCAGCAGCCCCCCAGAGTGCACAGAGCACACTCAGGAAGGGTAGAACCAGGCAGGTGGCAGGAGGGCAGGCAGGGCTACATTGAGCTAGGCCAAATTCTAATACCTGCATCCAAAATTGGGTCAAGCCTTCTAAAGCCGCCTAGCAAACAGAGCACCCCTATCTGTAGGTGGGACAGGCTGTACCACAGCACTCATCTCTGGTTTTAATCACTATGCAAATGCCTCAATACAAGGCTTCACCTCTGTTCTCACAGCCCTGGCTGTAATCATGACACTGTAATGATTGGTGTGCTCTGCCCCATTCAGGCTTGTGCATTAATTAGACAGGTACATCAAGACAAGATGGACATTAAAATCTACAAAGCAAGATGCAGAAAGGAAAGACTCACAAATTCCCTCCAACAGCTTTATTTGAATTATTCAAGAAGCCCAGGTATGAGCCCAGAGCCACTTCTCAATGAGACAAGGGGCCACTGCCTGGAACTTACCATGACACCAGCTTTGGGCCCTGTACCCTCCACACCAAGAAGGCAGTGCAGTCACACAATCTTCTAACAAGAGAGCAGGATGTTCTCTGACAGTATGAAGATGTCATACTCCAGTAGCACAGCATATGCACCTAGAACCCAACATGCCTGAGGCTTAATGGTGACCACATTCAAGGAGGTTCATAGCCTTCCAAGCACAAAGAAAGTGAAGTATGAAGCCTGGCTATCTCCACACAGGTGTAGATTGACCACTCAAAGTCAGTGCACTTGCTTCTACTGTTGTACAGACAGGGCAAGCCTCCTAGGGTTAGTAGAAGCAGCACGAGTTATAAAATCTGTGTGTGCACAGAGCAAATCTTAAACTGTGAGAACAAGCTAGCTGATCTGATCCATGGGGTAAGAGCACACCTTGCAACAAAGCTGGAGAACTTGCTGCCAGTGAGAGCTCACCACCCCAACCTATCCCAGAGCAAATAATCAACTCTGTGACACACTAAATCAAGAAACATCAGACCCAGATACCACCTCCACCATACTCAAGCCACTAAAGGCTCAGACTGCAGACAATAGCCTGATGGGGAATAGGCTGTGGCAGCTGCAACTTGTCATCTCTGAGCAACAGCAGCCCCACAACTCCTGCAGGGAAGAGTCCTGGCTCCTGGGGACCGTCTCCTCCCTATAAGAGCCCAAGCTGCCTCACCTGTTTGACTGGCAAGAACCAGACTTTCCAGCCCAAGTACTCCCACCATTTGACAGCCAGTAGGGCATACACTACCTCCAATACTCCAACACAAAAGCACAGAAACACAGAGCATCTCTTGGGCCATCACAGGCACTACTCCCAGTGTCCCTTGTAAGCATCACAGGCTGAGTGTTCACTGTGCTGTAACCCCCAGCAGAAGAGAAGAAAGCATTCACCTGTAACATTCAAGGAAAGCACCCAAACACCTGCCCCTAATACCTCAGGATGTAAAGCTTTTCTCCACTGGGAGAGAAAGGAGACACTATGCAACTTCAACAAGTTCCCTTATTTTTTATCTCTAACATACAGTACAAGACACCTCTCAGCCAGAGTGAGCTTTTATTCCCAAGTCTCAGTTTTAACAGTACTTTCATATTACACTGCTTCCCTGAAGGACCATATAACCCCCACCCCAATGGACTTTCAGGAAACAAAAATAAGAACACAACATAAGGCAGGACCACAGAGGCCCAGGCTGTGTGGGTGGCACAGCTTAATCCCTGCAGCAAGATGAAGCAAGTAGATGCTGCAACAACTGGCATCTTGCTGTTTCTCATAGGAACAGGCTGGCAGCAGCAGCTCACACCCATAAGCTAGAGGGGCTTCCTAGGAAAGAGATAAGGCACAGCAGTTTCAACCAAGCCCCAAGGGCTCAGCCAGCTGTTTGACTCTAAACTACCCTCAAGAAGCTGCCCAGCAGGTCTGGTGGGAAGGTCAGCTCCATGCAGCTAGGAATCTGCCCTGGCTGCATTCTGGTAGAAGGTGGTCAATTTGGGACAGCACAGCAGGATGGATGCACTGCTGCACAGGCAATCCTGGCCTCCAGGAGGGGAAGAGATGCTCTGTGGAAATGCACTAGCAGGTAAAACACCCAGTGTTATCCCATGCTGCCCACTGAGCATTGGAAGGGGTATTCACCCCAGCTTTCCCTCCCTGCCTTTAGGATTTCAGGACCAACATAATCAGTCACAGGGAAAGCACCTGACAGCCCCTCTGCAGGCAGCAGCCCAAGCACTGAGGCATAGACTGCCGCCCCCAAAGCTTAGTCTCCTGTTGCAATGCCTATTTATGCTGCCTCATTTAGTTTGTTACAGCGTAAAAATAAGTAGCTTTCCCAGCTCCCCCTTCGTTACAACAGAGGAACTGGCCCACGTAAAGAGATCTACAGACCAAGCCCTGTAGTGCCAGTGGTTATCGAGCCCACAGTGGTCCAGGAAGCGCAGTCCTCTGCGAATGACCACACCAATGCCAGGTAGCCCGAGGCCAGGCAACTGCTGCCACCAGGGGGGGTGACAGTGACCTCCTCCTCCTGCCACCGCGTTCCAGAGCGAGGGCCAGCGGGAGGCCAAGCACCTACACGAGCGGGCACTCAAAGCTGACATTGTGTCGCAGCAGCGGGGGAGGCCTGGTACTGCCACCCTGCCCGAAGGAGGAGGGAAGAGCCATCTGAATGGTTACATTGATGCCGGCGGCTGGGTAAAACACAGCTCCCCGGCCGCCGGGGGCTGCTCGCGCCCCACTGCGGAGAAGCCCCAGGAGACCACAGCCCTCGGCTGCTCCGCGTACCCGCAGCTCTCAGCCCGGTGGCCACGGTAGGAGCCGAGCAGCACCCCACTCAGCCTTGCGGCCACCTCTGCAAGCCCCTCTGGCAAAGGCCCCGGCCCCGCTGCCGCCCCAGGGAGCGCCGGGTCCCCCCCGCGCGGCCGGTTCCCGGCCCGGCTCGGGTGTGGCGCGGCCGGGCCCGGAAGCGGGGCCTGCGCGGCCGGGAAGGGCCGCGGCGGGCCCGGAGAGGCCCCGCGCCGCCGCCGCGGTGTGTGGGGGCCGAGCCTCCCTTCAGCGAGCCCGCAGGGTACTCCGCTGCCTGCGGAGTCGGGACAGTCCCGCCAAAACGCCAACAGGGCGATGCCGATCTCGTTCCTGAGGCCGCGCAGCCGCCGGTCCCTGAGCCGGGAAGCGGGCGTACCCTGCGCTCGGGCCACCGGCCAGCAGCGGGGAGGCAGCCCCGCCACGGCCGGTACCCAGCGCGGCCTCTGGCACAGGCCTGCCGCGGCTGAGGCCGGTGTTTGTGCCACGGCACACAGCGTGGAGGGACACTCCTTCCACCCGGCCGGCCGGGAAAGCATCCCAGCCTCGCACAGAGGGACCGGCTCTGCCCCGAAGGAGAGCAGCCAACTGCGGAAGGGAATTGCACCTTTCCCTGGCACCATGGGTGCACTGAGGCAGCGGCACCAGGCTGTGAGCCGAGGAGTACTACCGCTTCTCACTGGACCCTGTTGCTTTTGAGAAAAAAAAAAACTAAAAAAAAATTAAAAAAAAAAACCCAAAAAATAAACAAACAAAAAAACACTTCAACAACTCAACTCGGACTTCACTTGTGTCCCTCTGTCTGACACGGGCAGGTTTGCACACTGGTGGGCTTGCCATTTGCCACACCGTACTGCGGGTTCCCCCCTTACCGGGGGGGTGACAGCCTCGACAGCCGCACCCAGCGCGATCACCCGCCAAGGGCACGTCACAGTGTCACAACACCCATCCCACCCATCAGGCCACGGCCTCCCCACCCGTGTGGCGAGGAGACACCACACACCTCCTCCCATGACCGTGAGCATCTAAGGTGACAGGAACACGGACACACACACACAAGCCTCCTCCAACAGGCTAGTTAACAGGTGCCGAGCCAGCACATGGCTTCCCCGGGACAGGATTCACCAGTCCTGGCAGCAAAGCTTAACCCCCAAAGCAGCTGAACCCTGCTAAGGCCTTCCCAGCACCCTTCGGCTCTGCAACCACCTTCCGAAACCCCCTCAGCACACCCCAACGAGCTGCCTCGACCCACCACTAACCTCGGACACCGCCACCCAAACTTTCCCCCTCGCAAACATCCCAAACGATCACTAGAACAAACCAGACATCCCCAGCCCGCCCCGCGCCAGGCAAGACCGGGCCCCGCACACTCCACCCCACAGCCGCCTGCACTCACCGCCAGCCGCACCCCAATCTGCCGCCGCCACGGCCGCCCCCGCCATTAAAGCAGGAAGCCCCGCCCCCCACCGCTGCCGATTGGCAGAAAGTGCAGGGTTCCGCCCCCGGGAGAGCCGCAGCCAATCGGCGTGTCCGCCGCGTCCCGCCCGGTCCGTGGCTCCGCCCACCGCGGAGGGGTGAGCGCTGTGAGGGGAAGGTGGGAAATGGCTGGGAAGGGATGCGGGTTGTGGCACGGTCAGCGAGCGGTACGGGCGGCTGGCTCCAGGGTGGTGGTGACGGCATGAGGGAGACCCGTACAGGTCCATAAACCTCCAGCTCATAGGCTTTTTTTCCTCTCGTGACACCGCAACAGGCGCCGCGAGCTGGCACCGGACAGAACCCAGAGACGCCGACTCTGACCGCGTGCAGTTTCCAGAGGGTTTCCATCCTGCGGAGCCTCCACAGCCGTGCCAATCTGCATCCTAAAAAGTGGCCGGGACTTGACTCGAGTTCGTCTGGTCTGAAGGTGTTTTCAGAACTCACTATTCTAATTGTTAGGAATCATCTTCTCATTTCCAGCTTAATTTGATGCTCGACTGGTTAATAAACATTTGTTCCTGTGCCAGCGTTGTAATTTATCTCACACGGTCCTGCCTTGGTGTCCATGCTACAGTGTATTTGTAGACTGCAATCATCTCCCTCTCTGCCATTACACGGAAGACTGAACAAGTTTTTCCAGCATTTTCTTATTAGTCTGCCTGTTCCTGCGCCTAATGCCATGGTAGCTCTTTTTGCTGTACTGCTGGTCACATTGCCTCTCCTGAAGATGGGTGATGACGAGCAGTTACAGACTTGTGCTCACCTAGTGAGAATTTCCCACTTGGGTACAGGCAGGGCTGCATTTGCACAGTCAGGGCAGGCCAGTATCTCTTCTGGTGACTTTCTTGCCCTTGTTTGGTGGTACAGCCTTCCTTTACTTTCCCTTACATTGTTAATGCACTACAACATTCTGATTTCATCAGATTACACCAAATATTTGTGCCAGTCCTTAAGGAAATCAATTTATAAAAATATCCACAAAGTACCTCAGTAGTAACATGTGTGTCCTGATATGCTCCCTTTCCTCAGTCTTTGCTTTCATCTTGACCTGAACCACTCCTTCCCACGTGAAATGCCTGTGCTTGTTTCTGCACCAGCATCTACCATGGTTCCTAATTGGTCCCAAGGTTCAGAGCTGTTTCCCTGGAGTCCACACAGGGCCTATAATTCTATAAAAAAAGGGTTTTTTTTTTTAACTATCAAGTTAGTCGACATAATAAATTTTATTTTATTCTCCATTTTGTGCCTGCATGCTATGTTACGCTTTAACTGGATACTGTTAACATCAGACTAGCAGAACCGAAGCAGTCTGGATCACTTTTTCTCCCTTGTTAGGTATAGGCATCAGCCTCGTTTGTTACTCTTGTTTTTCTTTATTGTTCTCCTTTTATTTTGCAACATTACTTTATTTCTACTTGATTTGTGTTCCAATTCAATGGAAACCTTGCTATGTAGTTTGTAATGAAATTAGAGATCAATGGATTACTTCATACTCCCTCATACTGGATTGTTTTCCACCTTGTATCCTGCATCTCATAGATTTCTCCAAGCATTCCTTCTCTCCCCTGGATCCACCCTTACTAGCAGGCTTGTCAGGCTCTAACAATGAGCCCCAAATTGCACAGCCCAGCCTCTTCCTGCTATTGGAATTAATTTTCAGGTCACTCTCTTTTCTTCTGCTCTGAATGCAATTTATTTCTCCATCTTAGTCCTGGACTCTATTTCCCTGCTGTGTCTGCCACCTCTACTATTATTTCTGTGTTGTATTTGCTCATTAGTTTGTTGGTTTTTTTTTTGTTTCTACTGCATTTTCTGCTTCACTCCTTAATTCTCCAACACATCTAATAGATTTCACCGTTTTATTTCTCCTCCATCAGTTTGTTCTTTTCACACTCACTAGCTTTGATGGGTTCCCTTTGTCTGCATATTGGCCTTTGTTTACTTCTCCTGCTCAGCAGGTGTCTGGGTTCCTTGGTGTTCACCCCTCCCACACCATTTGCAGTGCTGCAGCAGCCTGGGCAGGAGCTCCAGCTGGAGCAAGGACCTGCTCTGCAGGAGCACCCTGGCTGCAGGGACATGGATTTGCTGCTGTGCTGTCCAAGGGGGTGATGAAGGGTCCCCTCCTAACCCCTGGGGACAGGCCTCCAGCAAGGACTTGACTAATCTGGTATGTGTTGTGCATCTGGGTTTCTGCCTTCCAGCCGCTTTGGAAGAGGGTAGCACAAGAACACATAGCAAAGAAAATCCCTCAAAAATAAGGGAGGTGGGGGACACAAGGGATGTCACCTGTTGTATACAGCCTGATCTTCCCAAAGTGTCTTGGGATAGAATCTTTTCCAGATGAGTAATCTTCTGCTTCCATCTTGAATCCTGCTCATCTGCCCTGAAATCTGGGAGAGAAGCTGTTTGCAGCCAGCCAAGTGTGTCACCCTGACTACAGTCTGGACCACCAGACCAGAGATGATCCTGCCACATGCCTGCCCAAGGGAGTCCTGCCTGCTCTAGCCACTCCTGCAGCTGGCACAGTCCTACAAGTCATTGACTCTTCACCTGCAATTCAGGAAACAACTTGTGCTTGCTCCCAGCAGCCTGGGCTGCACCATGCTCCAGTCTGGAAAAGCTTAAGCTCCTTCCTCCATCTCTTATCCTGGAGAACAACATACCATTTCCACTTTAGCTTCAGTGAGGGTCTCGCTGGTCCTTCTTACCAAGGGGATCCAGTCAGATGGAGGTGGGTGGGAGCCTCTGCATTCCTCCTTTGCACTGTTCCCTCCACTGCTCCTTGTCTTCTGCTCTCTCCTTGCTCCTTGCAGAGCCAAGTGCCCATCTCTTTCACCTCCTGGCTCTGCCCTGGTGCAAAAAGCAGGCGTGGGCGAATGTAACTTGCTGAAGGCATAAATACTGAAGCCATCCTCAGTGCACACAATTACCAGACTATCAGATGGGAAGGTCTGTAAGAACTAAGCAATGGAAAAGGAATGAAGTTCATTGAGGGGTTATGACCTCAGGGATTAGTAATTATATTTTTTCTGCGTGTAATGAGATATGCTGGTGCAGTGTTGCACATTTTCTGGTGCCAGTCTTGAAGACTGGCTCAGGCTCACCATGCAGCTGGCTGGGAAAAGGGAGGTTTCAGTCTCTTCAAGTGTAAAGTATCTCAGTTTTCTGACAATTTAGAAATTTTAAAAATCTTGGTTCTCTGGGAAACTAAAATATCTTTTTGATCATGCCTGGTTTATATAGTAAATTTATATTCTGTTATCCAATGAATGTATAACTATGAATTTATGTTTTAAATACTGATAAATTGAATGATGAAAAATCTAAAAGAAAATAAAAACTTCAAATGAATTCAGTGAAATTAAATACATGAACAATTGGCTCCATATATTTTCAGTAATGTATTTGACACACATAGTAAATTTACACACCTTAATACACTTGAGGAGTGACAAGATGATTTACAGATCCTCCCATCATTTACTATTTAATCCTGAAAAACCAAAAATTTTGCATGTGACCAGATAAAAACACTGAATGTAAATTGGCTCTCTAATGTTGTTTTACCCTTCTCCCTTTCCCTGAGGCTGGACTCTAAAGCACTATCAACCACAAATTATTGCTGCACACTTTCTCTGTGGCTCCATGGAAAAAAACAGTAAGTCAATTATGCTCACAATCACAACACATCCAAGAAATGTTCCTACAACACCTCTGTCTATACTGAGAGAATCAAAAAAGGCTTTCATGGCCACTAAAAGTGGTGAGAGATGACACTACTCAGCACCTGAAGGCCCATTAAATGCCATCATGTCACTCTGCAATTTCAATAAATGGAGGTGGGCAGGTAGGCCATGCCTGGGCATGTGTTCAGGCTGATGTGTTGCCTCCTTCCACAGCTGATATCAAGATTAAGTGATTCACCATGTGAGATATTTTGTGTTATTTGTGCTGATTACATTGTAGTGGCAGTAAAGGGCAAATACTGCATCACTGTTGTCCTCTTCCCTTAAGCCAAAATAAATGCTTTCATTCCTGGAATCTGAGGTCCCTATAAGCCCCTCAAGCTACCAGCAAACAATCCACAACATTTTTGTAGCCAACGGGCACGAAGTGACCCTGCTGAAACCCCTGTTGTAACATGACACTGTAGATTTCCATTTAAATGTCACCTGCAAAAAGGCATTCCCTGAGATGGAAGGGGCAGTGCAAGCATCACCTGGAAGCTTGCTGGCAGTGTGGTGGTGCGCTGGATCTTTGACAGCAGACTTTCACCCCGGTGTGTTTAATTGCTGGACTTTGCCTGCCAGCTGGGGTGGGCAGCACACATGACCGTTGTTTGCTACTGGGACAAGAATTCTTTGTCAGCTGCATAGCAGCCTCTCCAGTGTGAGCTGACACCCACCTCCATGGGCTGGAAACATCATCCCAGCAACACAGGACACCCTGGGGTCCTTCACAGATGTGCCAGAAGTCTCAGCCTACTCTAGACCTGTTAAAGCATTCTTATTTGTTCCTGTGGCCTAGAGAATAGTCTTATGGAACCATAGGGTTTGTTTCAAATCCATCAAATCGTGGGGCGGGGGGAGGGAAAGAAGCCAACCCATAGCCACAGCAAGGTGTCTGAGGATGCTAAAAGCCTGGAGAAGCCCATTCTTCAGTGTCTCTGCACAGCAGCAGGCATGGCAGGACCACCTCAGGGCCCAGAGTGGACTGGCAGGAGGATGGAAAGGGTCGGGAGGTCAGAAGGTTTCAGGACATTAAGCTCAACAGGAGTCCTTGGTTACTGTACAAGTATTGGTGACTGGCCACAGGTCACACCTTGGCAGAAGACCACAGGAGCTCTGGGAGTTGCATCACTTGTAGGGATGTGAAAACTGCCCCTTCTCAGGGACCTTTCAAGGCTGGGCACATGGGCATGACCTTTCATGGGCATATGCTCCTGAAGAGAGGAAAAGCAGGTGATGAGAAAGCCACAGTCCTGCTCATCCCCAGAGTCCCCTTTCCACACAAAGTAATTTCATTATACCTCTGATTTAAAACCCACAGGAGCTGATCATCTCTGGCAGCCTGTCCCAGACTGCCTGGAGCCTGAGGGAGCAGCTTGGTAAAACTGGGTGACTTCTTCACTCAGGCAGTTGGGATTGCAGTCAGATTTGGTGACTCGTGCCCAAATGTCATGCTCTACCACTGTGTCCCAGGGCTGTCCTCCTAACTTGTGGAACAGCGATGCCATGCAGCTCCATGGAGTGAGCAAAGGAAGAAATAAAAACCCTCCCAAGTGCTTCAGGAGGCTGTGCTGGGGACTTTCCTGAGAAGATTTTGCCTTGACCTGAAGTGGCCACAGAATCCTTGGCAGAGGCTGCCCAGGGCAGGGTTGCAGATGCTGCACCTTGGCCATGGGCAGCAGGGTGTGAGCTGCCAGGCATCAGGCTGAGCACGCTGCTGGTCACTCCACAGGAACTAAGCCACAGAAAGGATATTGTCAGAGCACAGGATTGTTCTGGGAGAACAGGCTGCACAAAGAGGAATTGTTTTG